GTTGGAATTAAAGTTTAGAAATTGGGGGAACAATCTGACAATGTTCAGAAGACATAGTATTACATAAATACACTCTTGTAATATTTTCAGCTGCTTTAACTCAGAGAAACAACAATGAACGAAACATGTTACTGAGTTTGGCATATGAGCAGGAAGGCTTTACCAGGACATTGTTCATATCCTACCTATGAAATGCCCCATATGTATTATTCCAAGGCTACGTGATATTTTTCTGTTTAAAATACAAGGATTTTTTAGTGAAAATGATTTATACATGAATTTATTATTTTTTGTGCACTGATTGTATGTGTTTCTTGTTACTAGTCAAATTCTGTTGTACAAAGTAATGAAAATTCTAGCACAAGGCATATGAAATAGAGGAGGCAGACTGCCACTGTTAGTATAAATGACAACTGTGATCCATCACACTGCCAGGAACCAAGTCAAACCAAATTTATTCAAACGGATGTCACACTAATAGAACAAGTAGAATGCTAAATTATGTTTTCAAAGCCTCCATGTGCAGGACCTAGCGAACACGTTCAAAAGAGTAGAGAACAAAAGCTAAGTGGTGAGCTCTCTGCAAGTGGCTTTGTCACACAATAAGTTATCACACCTTAGAAAATTACTATTCATGCATTCTGTAGTGACTCTTTGAGACCATTTTGATATCATCTAATTGTGGTCTGCAGAAATCCATCTCCAGGCATCAACAGCAAGAAAACCTTTGTCTCCACTAGTGAGAAGAGTTTAACTGCTGATCAGTGTGGAAAAGTTCTCTAGCTGACAAAAGTTTGAAAGATGTTAAACTTAGGCTAATCATGTAAGTCACTTCCATACAAGAGCAGAATAAAGTATGAAATTCATTCCTTCATCAACAGCTTCAATCAGGCATAGAAAACAGCTTATACTTAGCAAACTACATGTACTGTAGTATTGGAAGGTGGAGATGAAGTTATGTGAATTTTTCATGTTTCGACTGAATCAGAAGCTATGGCTGTGGAAGCAAGCTTTGTAAGTACCTGCATACAATTAGGATGAGGGGCAGATTCTAAGCTGTTTTCAATGTTCAAAATTAAAACCTGGTACTAGATGACGCTTTTAGCTATGTAATGAGAACTCCATAAAGAGATGATACAGGGCAGTAAGAATGCATTTAAAACAATTAAAAGAAATTGTCCCACATAAAGTAATACATATATTTTTCATTATATTAAGCACTTGGTCATATGGTATATAGCTCAGAGAGATGGCAAATTAATTGGTAACAAAAATAAATTTATTATAGGAAGAGTTAAAGTCATAGGTCAGTTGAACTCATTAGGTCATTCATTCATTGAATCATTACATCATTCCTATGTAGAAAGTCAGAAACTCTAATGACTCTAACAGGAACCAGTGTCTGAACTCCACAGGTGAAAGCATGAAACAATTATCGCCATGCTAATGATAAGAAGCTTTTGTTTACTGCAGGATCAAAGGATAGGTTAGACTGGGAGGAACGTTAGGAAGTCTCTGGTCCAACCTCCTGCATGCAGAAGAGTCAACTCTGAGGTCAGACAAGGCTGCTCAGGGCTTCATCTTGAAAGTGTCCAAGGACAGAGACTGCACAACCTCCCTGGGCAACTGGTGCACTACCTGACTGTCCTTATGGGAAACCAGCTTCTTCTTATATCCAGTGTGACCTTAGAATCATAGAATCATAGAATCATTAGGGTTGGAAAGGACCTTAAGATCATCTAGTTCCAGCCCCCCTGCCGTTGGCAGGGACACCTTATGCTAAATCATATCACCCAAGGCCTTGTCCAACCTGGCCTTGAACACTTCCAGGGATGGAGCATTCACAACCTCCCTGGGCAACCTATTCTAGTGCCTCACCACCCTAACAGGAAAGAACTTCTGTCTTATATCCAATCTAAACTTCCCCTGTTTAAGTTTTAACCTGTTACCCCTTGTCCTATCACTACAGTCCCTAATGAAGAGTCCCTCCCCAGCACCCCTATAGCCCCCCTTCAGATACTGGAAGGCTGCTATGAGGTCTCCACGCAGCCTTCTCTTCTCCAGGCTGAACAGCTCCAACTTCCTCAGCCTGCTCTTAGGTATCCCCAAAGTTATCTCTGCTCCACACTGAGCAAACCTATCTCCACAAGCATCTCCTCACAGAGCAAGTGCTCTGTGTGCACCACTGATAATGACCCTCTCAACTTGCCAGTTCAGCCAGTTCTTAGTCTCCCTTGTTGTTCATTGATCTAGTTGATAATTTATCAGTTTGTCTATGAGTATGGTATTGTGTCATGCTGTATTGTGTCAAGGTGTTGACAACAGGAGGTCAACCAGCCGTTCATAAAGCTGTCCTGACTGGGCCTGATCCCCCTCTTTTCCCACAGGTGCTGTGTGGTTGCATTCAGCGTAATGTGCTTCATGATCCTCTTTGGCACTGAGGTCAGGCTGACAGGCCTGTAGTTTCCATGGTCCTTCTTCCTGCCTTTTTTATTCAAACTTTTCCTAATAATACAACTCTTCTGATTGGTTTTGCTGTTCCCTGTGAGCATCACCTTCAGGTAAGCCTTGGTGAGTTTCCTGACAGCATCCCTCCATATCTGGGCAATGTTTCTAAATTTCTCCTCTGTAGCCTGTCCCTGTTTCTCCCTTCTTTATGCTGCTCCATAGACACTGCTTAGACATGCCAGTTTCCTGATATGTCTACCTGTTTTCCAGAATACTAGGATGGATCGTTCTTGCCCTCAGTGATATGCTTTAGTGGTGGTCTTGGCGGTCTTGGGGTAATGGTTGGACTAGATGATCTTAAAGCTCTTTTCCAACCCAGCTGTTTCTATGATTCTATGGTATTTTTCATGTACTATATAAAGTTCAGAACTAGACCGATTATAATTATCAACAAGGACTTTTCTTTAAAAATTATCATGTCCCGGACAAATTATATTACAGCGAGTTGGATTTAGCTTATGTGAATTTACATTTTAAACTTATTTGGCAATAAATATTGAACATTTTCTTTCTTTATTTTTTTTTTTATTTGGCAAAGACTTTTAGAAACAATCAAAAAGAAAAAAAAAGACATGCGCATATTGCTGTGAGAGACTGATCTGAAATCAGACTCCACTGTCCATTGTCTCAAAGATTGGTAGGAGAAGCTGAGATGGGACTCCACCCTCCACTGCCTGAGGGATGAATGGGAAAGAGATAAGACTCTTCTGTCCATTACCTCAAGGACTGGTGTGAGGAATTGCTGTCCATTACCCCAAGAATTGCTGCAGACCTGTGTATGCAGGCACATGCAGTTAGAAGAGGTGGCTGCAAGACCAGGGAAACAGGTCCACCAAGAACAGGCTACATGTCATGAAGAACATGGGTACTCCCCCCAGACCATTATAAAAGGGGGAGTAAGACATCATCAAAATGGGTACCTTCAAGGGGACTCCATGAGGACAGCGACCTCCGATGGACTCTTGGGGGACACTCTGCTCCAATATCAACTACGAACCCTGAAGAGCTCCCACCACTGATGACGATAATTATGGATCACTGGGACACCACTAGATCCACGGTGATGACTATCTCTCTCTGCACCCCGAATCCTTGCTTCATTTTCTACCTTTTTTTCCAATCTGTCCTATCACTATCCTCTTTATTAGAATAATTCTCTTGTTTATAATAACTGTTTTTTTGTAATTTGTAATAAACAGTCCAATTGCAGTACTTGACCTCATATGTCTCTTAATTTCATTCATGGATGAAACAGGGTGCGGCACTGGGATTTTGTCCAATCAGCCCTGACAATTGGTGGAATTACTTTATATGCAGATATCTTTCAGCCTATAGACTATTTGTATACTGAGTTTTCCAGAGGTGTTGAAACATGTTTTAATTATGAACTAGCTAAAAGCAAGGTGGTTTTAGTATAATTTATGTAGAAATATTTAGTTTGGCAACTGTTTTAAGTACATAGCCAGTACGGAGTGTCTATCACTTTCCAGCTTTCGTTGCTCAGTTGTGACATTCCCTTTGAACTGTGCTCCCGTTGTAAATAATTTCCAGTGGATTTCTAGAAGAATTTGCAGGAACACTTTTAAAAATTCCAAAACTTATTTTAGCAACGAAAATGTATATTAAATTAAAAAGTAACAAACCATACGTATTTCTACTATATTAAATTAAAACCTGGAGCCACATCACGGCTTTTTGTCTGACATTCCTTCCTAGCCATAGACAACAACCCACTTCAGACGAATTAAGAGAAGAGCAGGTTTTAATCATCTTTGATTCTAATTTTTAGAAGTGAAGGATAGCATTGGAAAGATTAAATAAGTTTTACAAAATTAAAACACTGCCTCCCAGGGTTTTCCTGTTATTATGTTAGAGAAATTAAAACTTTTATTCAATTCTCCCTTTGATTCTCCCTTATTTGCAGTTAAACAGTCTGAATTTTTGGCTTGCACTAGTTGGTTTTACAGAACTCTAGAGATAATCACAATATTTTTGTATGGCTTTGCTGATGTAAAGTGGCTTCAGTGTTTCAGTGGCAATAACATCTCCAGCAGCCTGGGCTCAGCAGCTGGCACTTCCTACGTCTTTAATGGGGGCCCACCAAGCAGCATGCACCTAAAGCCCTCTGTGACATTGTCACACACAGCATTCTCAGCTCGTCATACATGAAGTGGATACCTAGAGATATATTTGCACTGGGCACTTGGGGATTTCTACTGGATTGCTTGGAAAGTCAGTGGATGCTCACATCAATGCTTGCTCTTTAGGTTTTGCCTATGTGTTGGATTTCAGTTGCTTATTCATGCACTTACCTCAGATATGTACTGTCACCAATTTTTTTTCATCATGAAGACTCTCTGAGATGCACTGTTCTTTCCTAGCACAAGTAATTTTATCCATGTGTTTTCATAATGAAAATTTCCAGTGAAGTTGTAATGTTCTTTTAGAGCATGTGGGAATGTGATAAAATATTCAGCAGATTCATCCACGTCTCGGAATTTGTATAGAACTTGTATCTCAGAAATGAAACCTCAAGAAAGGGTAAAATGTTTCTGAAATTTAGTGATCTGACATGATTTTATTCTTCCATTGAGAATAATATTTCATGAGCTTGTGACTCTGGTGCTTAAATTTGTTCTCCCCCTTGATCCAAATTTAGAAGTAAATATTTTAAGGAATTAAATCTCTTAGGAAGGAGGCTCAAGTGTGTTCTTATGAATGCTGTTAAGGATGCCATTGCAGTCCTGGAACAATCTCCAGGTAATCTTTTACTGCTAAAATCAATCTACCAAGTAACCTTTCACTATGGAAAGCAAGACTGTTGAAAGTGGGCAACCCCTTCAACCTCACATTAAATCAGAAACCTCCGTTTGAGTATCTTCTGGCTGGATCTTGATAAATTTGGTTGCCATACATTGGCTATAGAGTAATGAGAAACAGGTGCTTGGTAAGATGTTGCGCACAATTTTCATGGGCAGATATTGTCTTAGCAAAGTAACTTCTACTTTCTTCTCTTGGAGCAGAAAATACAGACTATCTCATGGTGACAACCTAGTCTATTGAGTGAAGCAATACATTAGGAACTAAATGGCTTGGATTTCTTTTTTGGATCAGCCACTGATCTGGTGGGTAATGGAAAATCAGTTTTCTCCAGTCTCTTTCTTTTCTTCTTGTTTTGTTGTTTTTTTTTTTTTACCCTCTTCTGTATTGCTTCTGGTCTAAAAGAGCCTTGAAGAGGATTTAGGCTGTGTTGTTTTGATACCTTTGTTTCTTCTACTATTTTTGCCCCTTGGAAAAAATGGGCAAATTTAAAACAGAGACAAGATTGGTCCTCATTGATTCTGTGAAATACTAATGATAGATTTCATGGTAAGCAGCTATTTTCCAACTTTAATAGTTATTTTAATCATAGAATAATTTTATTTGGGATAATATTAACTTCAGAGCTGCAGTTCACGCAAATACTTTTAAAAGAAAGAGAAATAAATAGCAAAGAAAAGCACTCCTCACCACCTTTGCAGCTCTCTCTAATTAGAAAATTTATCATAGAATTATAAAAATACTGACAACTCCTTTTGCTTTATATGTTGATATTTTTTAAAATATATTCAAAAAATTTCCCTTAGAATAGCATGTTCCCATAGCCAACCAAATATTCACTGAAATATTCTACCATATTAGCCATCCTATGCCATCCCATGCAAAAGAAATTATTTGCTAGAACAGCACAAGAAGTCTGCTTTGATTTCAAATAAACAGTAGAAGAGAAAATTATATTCCTGAAATGTCTGGTTAATGGCTTACAAAAAATAACCATCTGTACCATTGTCTTCAGCAACAATTCTACATTAAAAAAAAACAAAACAAAAGGGGTTTTGCTGCATTTTTCATTTCTTCCTAACTAGAGATATAGGACAAGCTGCCTAGTCCTCTGGAAATTGATGGTGATACATGAATTATAAGTGACAGACAGGTTCCTCAGTTTGCAAGGTCAAAGCAAAGTTGTCAAGCAAAATGCAAGAAGGTAATAATCACTGTGTAGATGTCCTGTGTCAGCGTGTACTTGCAACTCAACCTTACTATTGATAATAAAAGAATATAGGAACTAATGAAACAGAATTTTGTATGCAATTCCTAGTTGTTTCACCAGAATTCCTTACACAATTTCTCTGCAGACAAGGAATATGGTTCCTGCATGGTAGGGACTATAGTACTTTCATTTGAAATGTAAATAAATTTAAATACTCGATGATGGGGAAGATCATAGAGAAAATTTACCGGCTCTGTGAGTCTTACGAATCATATGATATCTTAGGAGGGACAGATGGCCTTTTAAGCTGCCTTTTAGCTTAATTTCTTACAATTTAATTTTGATGCACCATTTTTAGATACCTGGCTCTGGTAGACCTTGAACATAATTAGACCTTCAAAGCTTCAGTATAAGTTAAAACCTGGTCCTTTTAATCCATTAACAAGTGGTGACAGGTATTCTAGGGGCAAAGAAATTTAGGCATAAACAGGAATTCCAGGTCATTCACATCTCTCTAAAAAAATTACACACACTGGCATATAACACACAGCTCCTCAGACACATGCATCTTCCTCTGTTCTGTCAAAATGAAGATCAGAGATTCAAAACCAGGCACGCTTTGCTGTACGACTTCAGTGCAAATGAATACCCAGCTTCTAGAAACAAGAGGATGGCAATATATAGCCTTTAAAATTTCAAACCTAAATGCAGCTGCACAGCTGTGTCTGCTAAATGTTAGCACCCATGTATATCTTCATGGATACATTTGTAATCCTTGTTGAAGCCTTTTTCTTTTTTTCTTTTTTTCTTTTTTTTCTCTCTTTTTCTTTTTCTTTTTTTCCTTTTCTTTTTCCTTTTCTCATTTTTTTCTTTTTCTTTTTTCTTCTTCTTTTTTCTTTTTCTTTTTTCCTTTTTTCTTTTTCTTTTTCTTTTTTTTTTTCCTTTTCTTTTTCCTTTTTCTTTTTCATTTTTTCTTTTTTCTTTTTTCTTTTTTCTTATTCTATTTTCTTTTTTTTTATTCTTTTTTTTTTTTTAGAGGAATTTCTAGGTACATGACCTTTTTCTTCAATCTTTCATGTGCTGTAGACTTAGTATAGCTGTATGATACCTATAAAAAACACTGAATTCCTTGAAAAAAAAAAAATAGGAAGCAGATGAATTTGAAAATAGCTTCTTCAAGCACGTTGAAGCAGATCAGAGGAATGAAATATTTGCCATGCCAGCAATGAAAGGAAACCCATAGCCTTTGTGAACAGAAATGGTAATGGAAATTCACAAAGGAGACTTATGCACAGGCAAATTCCATTCACCAGCTTTTTTTCACTGCGAGGTTGATATCAGGCTGCACATACAAGAAAATAAAAGCCAGCAACATATGCCAAACCCTGCATCCCTGACTGCCAGAAGCACTGATGTCAACAGCTCTTCCTCAGAGGCCTCTGAGCCTGTGGCAACTGACTTGCTCTTCTGGAACAAGAACATCATAACAAAGTTCCTACCCACCCCTTCTGCAATGTTGAAACTGAGAGGAACAGCTGGCTGCATAATTATTCTCCCAAGGTCCATGAACAGGGCTCAGTTATCTACTGCAGTCTTTGCTTATTTAAAAAAAAATAAAAAATAAATTAACAAAAACAAAAACAAAGCACGTCACTGATTTTTTTTTTTGTTTGTTTTTTTTTTTTTTGTCAGACTAAGGGAGCAAATGTCCTAAACAAACCTGGGAGAGCCCCAAAGTACAACTGGAAAATCAGTAAATCTTTCAGCATGTGGATTTCTCCAGCAGAACTTTCAGTGTGAAGAAGTGTCATACTGTGATATTTTTGGCTGGGAAAAAGCTTCAGCCTCAGGAAACCAAACAAAGAAATAAAATCCATCCCCCAGTACAAATGAGGCTGACTGAATTTAATATGTTTAAAGGGAGAACAAAGAAGGAATTCTGTTTGATCCCAAGCTACCTGTGAACTAAAATTTCATTTGAAGGTCATTTCAGTGAAATAAGGGTAACAAAAATATTCTGCTACCTGCTGCCTCTTTTTTGTCACTTACCTTTCTTTCCCATTCCCCAGGTCTTCCATCATTTCCTACTTTTGGCACTCCTATTAGTTACTGCCACCTTCTGTTCATTTGTTTGTCATAGACCTGCAGCCAACCCTCTTGCACAGCAGCGGTGACTATTGAGGATATATATATATATTGCATATTGAGGTTATATGTTTTGCATTTGTCATACCTAATAGAGGGTGCTGAGGGTTACATTATGGTCTTGCTAAAGACCATAAACTATAAATAAATAATCATATTTCCAAGATGCTTTGATTTTGGAATTGCAGAATAGCTGAGAATACATCACAGAATTATTCAGTAATAGTGGTGGTACCTCTGAAAACCTACAGTGCAGCAGTTAGGCAACTTCTCTGGGAGACAGTGTTGCCAGGAGTAATTCCTGCTCTGCCTGATTCAGATAAAGGCTTCAAAAAAATTCTAATACCTCAATAAGTTCAGCTTATTCAGAGAAAAACTTGAACTACTTAGCATAGTGCCCCATGCAGCAGTTGGGGTTTTGTTGTTTTTTTTTCCTAGGGAAATTAATTTCTCTTATTCTGCTTTACAAAAACACTAATTTGAGTTCATCTTGAGCATGTCTAATCAGCAGAGGGCTAATACAGGCTGACACCGCTCCATGAAAAAAAGGATTTTTTGAAACTTAGCCTCATCTTTTTGATTCTGTAATGAGCCCTTTGTGTTTTTTTCAACTAGGATAGCTTGTGGAAATATGCATTTTCATCCCTTGTCTGTCATGAGGGAGCACAGCAGCTCTGCATCAAAGTGTAAGATCTCCTGTGATCACTGAGGGGTCTTGACACAGGGCCTGGCACTTGGGGAAGGCCAATGGTTAGACACGATGACTGTGCAGGTCAAGGCCTGCACAGCAATACAAGAACTGGACTTGAGTGCTCTTAGTACTTTCTTGTGTCCCTTTCCTCTTGATCTATCTGAAAACAGAGATTGGCCCATAAGTGTTAACAAATAAGAGTCTGTGGTCCACCACAAAGCTCCTAAACATGTCACTTCAAATGCAGCTATCCAAGGAGAAATCTTTCTGTGTAATGGCTCCTTGTTCCCTTCTTAAAGTCTAAATCTGACATAACTACGTATATAATTAGTGTTTTATTTAACATGTTTTGTAGTGATATGCTATACCAGAGGTGAAATTTCCCTTTTTACATAATTATAGAAAGGAAAGGAAAGTATGAATAGATTAAAACAAAAATGCCTACAACTTCCCCTTCTTCCCCTCCTCCCTTTACACCCCCAAGGAACCAAGAGTGGTTTAACAGGCCTGTCAAAATGGCATTATGGTTTATTTCTGCCCCTTATAGTTCAGTGGCACTGTTAGCCTACCATATGCAAGTATGCAGTGAGTAAGCAAAGTGTTCAAATTCTCGGAGTGTTTTAAAATATTTTAATAATAAATATTTATTTTAAATTATTATTTTATTTAGCAGTCATGGTAGAGTTCCACAAAACTCAAAGGTCCTTAACATAGAATCATAGAAAAGTTAGGGTTGGAAAGGACCTTAAAATCATCAAGTTCCACCCCCCCTGCCATGGGCAGAAACACCTCACACTAAACCATATCACCCAAGGCCTCGTCCAGCCTGGTCTTGAACACTGCCAGGGATGGAGTATTCACAACCTCCCTGGGCAACCTATTCCAGTGCCTCACCACCCTCACAGGAAAGAATTTCCTCCTTATATCCAATCTAAACTTCCCCTGTTTAAGTTTTAACCTCTTACCCCTTGTCCTGTCACTACAGTCCCTAATGAAGAGTCCCTCCCCAACATCCCTATAGGCCCCCTTCAGATACTGGAAGGCTGCTATGAGGTCTCCACGCAGCCTTCTCTTCTCCAGGCTGAACAGCCCCAACTTTCTCAGCCTGTCTTCATACAGGAGGTGCTCCAGCCCCTGATCATCCTTGTGGCCCTTCTCTGGACTTGTTCCAACAGTTCCATGTCCTTTTTATGTTGAGGACACTCTGACCCAGGTGTAAGACCTTGCACTTGTCATGGTTAAACTTCATGAGGTTGGCATCAGCCCACCTCACAAGCGTGTTGAGGTCCCTCTGGATGGCATTCCTTCCCTCCAGCATATCAACCAAACCACACAGCTTGGTGTCATCGGCAAACTTGCTGAGGGCGCACTCAATCCCACTGTCCATCAGGCATTTAAGATCACTGAGTATGGAAACTTTGTTATAAAATCCTCTTGCACATTGATATTCCACATGGAGAAAAAAACCTGTGTAGGGGTAAATTTTTGTTAGTTTTGTTTGTTTTGGTTTTGGATTATTTTTTTTTTCCATTCTTAATATTTCCAGGTACTGGCATGAAGCAAATCTCAGTTACATGGGACAGAATCTTACTGTTTGTCTCCTGATCAGAGTATAACTTGTATTCCTTCTTATGTGGTCATCATTAAGTTATAGGTAAAAATGGATATGGACTTCCATTCTAAATCTTATTTTCAGCATCTGTTTTTTTTTTTGTGTTATGGTCAGATTTGTAAGGGTTTAAGAAGTTAAGTACCAATTGCTTTGAGAAACCTCCACTTCTGCGTCCTGTTGCTCTAAATACTTTGGGTCACAGGAGACTGCATTCTGTTGACTTTTAGTCGAGTTTCAGTCAAGGCTATACACTTGAAAGCGCAAAAATGATGAAGATTCACCTAATCCATATCCTTGAGCAACTCAAAGAGACAGCATAATTCTAGGTGCTAGAACTGGAATTAAAATAAGCATTTAGTGCAATGAGAGATGCCCTTGTGTATCGCTCGTGCCTGATCTCAAGAGGCATGCGTTTTTCCCAGGTCCCGTCTCCTGTCTGCCAGTTTCATGTATATCCGTGGGATGCGGGGATGTAAGACAGCCCAGGTGGCACTAGGCCAGGATGTCAAACACCTGAACTGCTCCTGGTGTTTAGACATCACATTTAGCTGTCTGCACCCTCATGCTGAGCTCCATCTTGCTCTGCCCCAGCCCTGACAGCAAGCAGGAGGCCCAGGGGAACAGGGGTGGAACAGCACAGTGAGGACCTGTGAGGTGACCACAGCCCCAGGTCAAGAGGCTGCGTCCCAGCACAAACAGGAGTGACAGCGAGCTCCCTGCGTTGGCTGTTTTCTGGTGGCCGTGTTCCAGTGGGTAGAATTTTGGTGTTGGCCATGTCCCAGGGGAGAGAATGTTGGTGACTGTATCCTAGGTGACGGAATGTTGGTGGTGGCCATTCCGTTCCACAGGGGTTGGTAGCCCAGGTTCCAGGACGGGCGCGTAAAGGGCTGCGGGGTGACAAGGGCCAGACCCGCCTGGAGGAGAGCAGGTGGGTGAGCCAGGGCTGAGGTGAGAGGGCAGGAGGAAGGCAGGGAGGGGAGGGCCGGGCTGCTGGGCCCGGGCAGGGAGGCAGCGGCTGCCCCATGGGCGGCAGATGGCGGCTGCTCCTCCTTTCACTTCCAGAGCCAGAAGCTCACACAAGGACAGGACCGGAAGAGGGCGCACTCCTGAGCCCGGCCACACAGCCAGACACTCGCCTCCTGCTGCACGGACACAAAGTTAAGTCTTGGCGTGTGGCAGGGCCCTGCGCAGGGGTTGCGCGTGGTGAGCAGTGGCGGTTGCTCTGCAGTTCTCCTCTCTTCTGCAGCCACAGGCACGCAACGGGACAGGATCGGACCTTGGCGTGCTCCGGTCCTTATGCACTTGGGCAGGGAGATTTGCTGCCTTCCATAGGGACGCTGACACAAAGTTAAGTGATGGCGTCTGGCAGAGCCCTGGGCAGGGGCTGCCCATGGTGAGCCAGTGTGGCTGCTGTGTGGTTTGTTCTGTCTTCTGCAGATGCAGACCTTGACAGCAAATGGACCAGCCCATGGTGTGCTCCTGTCCTCAGCCACACAGACAGCCTGGATAAGCAGCTGGTTTTCATGCTGTTGAGGAGAGTGATACTGACAGTGACATGACACAGTTGAAATTTAACTACCTGAACTACGTAGGCCCAGGCAAGGACAAGACCAGACCATGGCACACTCACTGCCTTCTCTTTGCACTGCTCAGCCAGAGATTTCTGTAGCTTTCAGTGAAGACCTAAGGACAAGGAAGCACAGCCAGCGTCAGTCTGCACCGCGTCATCTTCCCACAGGCAGCTGGAGGCTCCCCACAGCCATGAATAAGGGGAGCTCCGTGCCACTCACCCTCTGTGTGTGAAACTGACCTGGAATAAAATTTTCTGATTCATGAGCCTTTGGCTGATTCTTCTGATTTGTGTGGTCATTGGGGGTAAATCTCCTGAGCGTTTTCCTTATTATCATACGGTTATAACATGCTTTAGGTTGGAAAGGGACCTTCTAATCCAATACTCCTGCCATGGCCAGGGACACCTTCAGTAGACTGGGTTGCTCAAAGCCCCATCCAACCTGGCCTTGGACACTTCCAGGGATGGGGCAGCCACAACTTCTTTGGGAAGGAAGGAGCACCAAAGACGATGTGTGAAGAACTGACTACAACCCCTATTTTCTATCATCCTGTGCTGCTGGGTAGAGGATTTGCAGAAAACTGTGATTAAAGTTAATCCCAGGAAGAAGGGAAGGTGAAGTTATTTTTAAGGTTTGTTTTTCTATCTGATTTTCTTAGTCTCATTTGATTAGTAATAAACTAAACTAATTTCCACAAGTCAAGTCTGTTTTCGCCGTAATGGTAATTGCTGAGTGATCTTCCCTGTTCTTATCTTGACCCACAAATCTTTCATGATATTTTCTTTCCCCGTCCAACTTAAGAGGGGAGTAACAGAGCAGCTGGTGTCCAGACAAGGTCAACCTGCCACACTCAGCTACAAAGAGGAACACTGCAGTTATATGAGAATCTTATTCTTAGTTTTGATTCTAATGAATGGCTGAATTACTTTTGCTCAAACTTTCAGTCAGAAAAAAAAATGTATAATGAAGAAAATCAGCTGCTGGCAAAAAAAAAAAAAAAAAAAAGAAAAAGACTAGAACACAAAGAATTAAAATTCATAAAAGACTGCAAAATTTTAGCTAAAGATGTCAGTAGCCACATATATGGTGGAATAGTTTAGGTATGTGTATATATACCTATATTTGACTAATGTTTCTGAATGTATTATTGACTTATTTTTGTTAATACATTTAATGTAGATTTTACTTCAAAACTGTTCAGATGATTAAAAATATTATTTTAAATTATTAAA